AGAGAGAGAGAGAGAGAGAGAGAGAGAGAGAGAGAGAGAGAAAGAAAGAGAGTGTGTGTAGGTCCGGTGACCGTCCTTGAATTCTCATAGAGAATAACTCTTGGAAAGGAAATGAAAACCTGTTCTTGTGTGTAAGCAGGGTGAGGGGAGAAAATACAGAGGAAAAAATGTTGAAAAAAAAAATCTCTGAATTTACCATTCAGCAAAAGGCTGATACCAGCCAAAATCTTCCCTTTGGTCCTAATTAGCTTACCCCAAACCTCACCAGCTCTGAGCTCTGTGCTCCAGTGGGGGTTGAGAGAGGGAAGAAACCCACAGTGTAGACCCATCAGTGTAGACCCATCTGAGCATGGTAGCATCTCCACAGGGGGCCCTGTGCCTTCCCTTTTTAGTATAGAGCATCCTCCCTTCCAAACACAGATGTTTTCCTTTCCTCCTTTTTTTCATTACAAATTTATAAAGAAGACAGGCAGGTGAGTCGCGGTTACAGCTGCATGTGGATAGACTGCTGGCACCCATACACAGTATGCAGCCCATAAAAGAGAAAGCTGCACAGCCCAGATGTGTCTTCACCTGGGTCATATTCCTGTTCCCTGTTTGGGTTGCTCTTCTAGTTTTTGATAACTCGTCCCTGTTTTTCCCCCTTCTTAAACAGACCTGTTTTCTTTTTCCAACCCAATTGAAGTGTTTCCTTCCATTTTTCTCAGTGGCCTGAACACCCCTCCAGGTGTACCTCATTATCCTCCCCTCCTAGCGCCCCCCACCACTGCTTTTAGCACCCATTTGTTGATTTCCTTGAACAAGGGCTGCAGATGTCCTCACCCCACGGGGAGGCTGCCTGGACAGCGGTCCACCTTGCAGAACGTGCTGACATTTCTGCCTCATACCCTGGCCACCTGATCAGGGTAGATGGGAAACTGCCACTCATGGACTCCACCCACCAAAGAAGGACTTTTGTTGTTGAGTTACAATAACGAAACACAGATGGCTTGTCATCCATTCTTTTTTTTTTTTTCCATCCAGAAATTCCTTCCATCAACCCAGGTAGTTGAAGAGATAATTGGGAACATGTGTCACCCACTGGGTTCCCTGGTGATTTGGTTACCCGAGCTCCTGCCTGCAGTGAGCACTTGGGAACTGTGGGAGGCAGGGGCATGTTGGGCATCAGTGTCTGATGGCCTGGAGGGTGACTGGTGCTGGCCTCATTCCCTATGGTTGGGATCTGTGTCCTTATAATCACCCAGCCTCAGGGGTCTTTCCAGTATTCTTGAAAAATGCATGTCCTTTTTCTTCTTTTAAAGTTCTCCCCACAGTGTACGCTGTATTTATCAAATAGCCTTTCAGATTTGGGAAAACCTGGAGAATGAAGGAAGTATCTGTATTCTCAAACCACTTCCCTCTCTCTGTGCTTCTAGGTGGACACCCTGGAGATGATGCGGCATCCGGAAGAAAGCACCAACATGAAGAGGCAAACCATGGCTTCTTACTTCCGGGTATGGGGTCTCGTTGATCTCTAGGAAGACTTTTTCCAGAAAGACCTTGCCAAGCCTTCCTACAAGAGGTTCAAAGTCATTGGAACAGGGCGAAGCTCAAGAGCCAGTTAAGAAAGTGGGGTGGTGGGAGTGGGGGCTGGGTACGTGTGGAGGTGGCAGCAGAGAGAACATTGGCACTCAGCCCTGTCCATTGGGCACCCTGATTCTGCTAGCCTTCTTGGCTTTGCAACTACAAGAGTCAGCCATTTCTTCAGCAAACAGTCATAGTTAATAAAATCCTCGAAGATAGCTTACCAAGTTCAGATACTGAGAAAAGTATGAGATTTATTGACCCATTGCAAAATCCATTTTCCTGAGCCTTATTATTTCCCACATCTGCCTCCTTTGGGTAAAAACATTTGTCTCTAGAAGGGCTCTGTGAAATGCCCATTATATAGCAAAGATAAGACACATGATCTCTTCCACCACTTTGCACAGATGCATTCATCTTCAGATTATTATAAAGCATAGAACTGGAAGCCTGTTAGAGATCAAGAGTCCTCGGGAGCTAAGGTGGGTAGACATCTGGGTAGCTTCATGGTGAAGATGCTCTTATGACAAAGTAGGAACCTGTCTCAGTGGGAGAAGAATAAGGTGGTATAATGGGGTTGACAGTGGAAGGGGTTCTACAGGGATGGATGATCAGGGGTAGGATGTGGCTCAAGAGCTGAAGGAACAGGTGGGCTGAAGGGCAGGACCTTCAGTGCTGAGAATGAGCTCTGTGGATAGAAGACTCCATGGAAGGCCAGTGGGTGCAAAAGGATCTAAGGCCACAAAGTCCAGCTGAAGCACTTGGGTTTCAGAGGCAGACTAAATTGAGCTCATGGTATGATCTTTCTCTCCAACACTCAACCCATGTGGTGATTCCTACATCTCTGGCAGATGGCTTTCAGTACCTGCTTGATCACTCTGGTGTTTGGACATTTCTAATTGTTACTTATTTCTTATCTTGAAATCCCCCTCTGGTCCTGTCCTCTCTAGCAGCCATATAATCATTCCCCTCGTAACCCTTGCTATGTGTGTACACGCACATGTACAAGTGTGTATTTTGCATGGGATCTGGAGGCTCTTTGACCATGGGAAATCACCCTCAGGATCCCAAGCAACCCCCCCCCCTTATTGAAGAAGCCTCTGGCTTATAGTTTTTCAGAATTATACCATGACAACATTTTTAATGTCCTTAAAATATAGTCCCTCAAAACTAAACTTATCATGATACCTTGATAAGCTAGACACGACCAATTTTCATCAGTAATGGGTGATCATAAAAGCATGGAACTGATTTCCTGTATGGTTCTAATTGCCCCTGAAGGGTTGCCTGGAAGAGGAGTTCCAGCAGTGCTTGGCCTGAGGAACAGCAGCAGCCTCCCCGCACAAGTACTCCTCTGGTTTCACATCTCCTTTCCTCCTCTCTCTACCAAGTATATGTTAGTTGATCATCATAATCTTCTTTTTCTATAATTTTTTTTGTGTGTGTTTTGTCTTTCTCTATTCTTTTTTGTTCCTCTTCCTTACTGCCATAAGGAATAGGTAGGATTCACTTAGACTCTCTGGTGGTTCTTAGGCTAAAGAAACAAACCTTTCCCTCAAAGTTGGGTATTTTACTTTATTTTTTGGTGGGGGAAGGAGTGCCAGGGATTGAACTCAGAGATACTTGACCACTGAGCCACATCCCCAGCCCTATCTTTGTATTTTATTTAGAGACAGGGTCTCACTGAATTGCTTAGTGCTTTGCTTTTGCTGAGACTGGATTTGATCGTGTGATCCTTCTGTCTCAGTCTCCTGAGCTGCTGGGATCACAGGCATGCACCACCCTTGGGTAATTTTTTTAGTATTTATTTTTTAGTTGAAGTTGGACATAATACATTTATTTTATTTATTTTTATGTGGTGCTAAGGATCAAACCCAGGGCCTCCCACTTCCTAGTCGAGTGCTCTACCGCTGAGCTACAATCCCAGCCGCACCCCTGGGTATTTTAACTTATGGTTTATGGACATTCATTTTGGATACCTGAGGGTATTCCAACTAGAGTGTGTTCTTAGGTTTCTGCCAGAGGGGATATTGCTTGGCACTAGGAGATGATTAAAGAATGCTTTTGAATCTTCAGTTAGCTCTAAGGAGAACTTATATTGCCATCTGCTATTATTGATTTCATGTTCTGCTTCAAAGGTCTGTGAGTCATTCACAAATCCCAAACTGCTCTTAGAGGCCCCTCTGGGTCCACGCTGGTGCTAACCTCATTTTGTGTGTGGTTTTCTCCCTGGTAGTATTCTCTGATGGACTTGCTCTCCAAAATGGTGATTGGACAGCCCCACTTTGTGCGTTGCATTAAACCCAATGATGACCGAGAGGCCCTGAAGTTCTCTCGAGAGAGGGTCCTCACCCAGCTCCGCTCCACGGGCATCCTGGAGACCGTCAACATCAGAAGGCAGGGTTATTCCCACCGCATCCTCTTCGAAGAGTTTGTGAAAAGGTCAGTATGGCATCTTAGGAAATGCATGTTATAGGGCTTGGGTGTAGCTCTGTGGTAGAATGCTTGTCTAGCATGCATGAAACCCTGGGTTCCATCCTCAGTCCTAGGGAGGGGAGGAGGAAATGTGTGTTGCAAATAGAGCTGTCCTCTGGTCATTCCTGTCCCCTGTGGTTGCTCCTCCTGCCCACTTCCCTCCAAACAGGTTACTGAATGGTTACCAGCTGCCATGTACTTGCTGAAATGTTGTATTTTTATTGTGTTCCAACTAAGCTGCAGTGATCCAGAGGACAGAATAAGCTTCCTTCTGATTACATTAAAAATAAATATACTTAGGCATTTTTCATGTTATAAATTCTTAGGTCTCAAATTATGCAGATATTTATGATGGATGTATCTCTTCATACATGGGCCAAGATTCTGGAGGATATGAATGTACCCAAGCAGCCATTCCTCTTCTAGGGTCTGACATGATATAACAGTGATAATGAACACTTACCTGGCACCTAAAAGTTCCTAAGAGTACAGGACATTTTAGGGCACTATTCTCAACTGTAAAATCTCATTTGATCCACAGAACAATACTAGAAGCTAGGCTCTATTATTATTCTCATTTTACAGGTGAGGACATCAGCTCACACAAAGAATTTATTTTTTATTTGTTCTTTTTAGGTATATGTGACAGTAGAGTATATTTTGACATATGATACATACATGGTATATAACTTATTCTAATTAGGATCCTATGCTTGTGGTTGCACATGATGTGGAGTTACATATTCATGAATTCATATATGAACATAGGAGAGTTATGTCTGACTCATTCTACTGTCTTTCCTGTTCCCATCCCCACTTCCATCCCTTCATTTGCCTTTGACTAATCCACTGAATTTCTCTTCCCCTCACCCGATTGTTGTGTGTTAGCATCCACATATCAGAGAGAAAATTTAACTTTTGGTTTTTTGGGATTGGCTTATTTCACTTAGCTTGATAGTCTCCAGTTCCATCCATTTGCCAGAAAAAGTCATAAAGTCATTATTTTTTTTATGCCTGAGTAATAGGCCATTGAGGTGATACAAAGAATTTAAATGATTTTCCAAGGTCCCATGGTATAAACAATAGAGCCAGAACTTGAACCCAGTCTATTTTCAGCATCCACATAGTTAATCTGCATTTAATTGATGTTTATTGAACACATAAATTGCATAAGTAGCTTTCTAAACCTAAAAACTGCCTTTGGATGCAGTGCTGCTCTTTTCTGGACAATTGCCACAGGGATGCCTTGTGTGTGCATATGGTTTCAGGTAGGATTTACAGAATGTTCTGTGAAGAAATAAGGAACAACAGTAATCGAAAATCACCTCTGAGAAAGAAGCACTACACTCTGAGCATGCCCAGAGAGGAATATTATAATCCATTTTAAAATCTGCTTGCTGGCCACCATTAGTGCTTTTTCACTCCCATTCTAAAACAGGTGCCCAAGGTCATTTTTTTACCTTATTCTCAGGAGATAATGGATCTTAAATATGGCAGCGCTTGCTTCATCAAGTCTTCCAAATTCTGCTAAATTCCATGGGGATGGGAGAAGGAAGGATGAAAGAGTTTCTTACATCAAGAGCTTTTAAATTAAAAATAAGAATGAGATGGCTTAAATGTCTTTAAGCCTCTGTTTTCTCTCTCTCTTAAATTTGGAGGTGGAGCAACAACAACAAAAAAATAGCTCATAAATGTAACTAGTCAAGTATTTTTAGCCACAAAGTGTTAAATACAGAAAAATATTTAAGAAAACAGGTCAAATGCTAAACAGATTGGCACGTCTTTGTTCATAATCAGAAAGCCATTAGGCAAGTATGAACAAGAGTTTCAAAATGTCAGGAAATCTGAGGGTATCAAAGATTTCTGAGCCAGCAAGTTAATTGGTATTTTGATCCTTTTGAGCAACTTAACAACAAAATGGATGAGCGAGCAGTTTTCCCCCTTGATGTTATTCAACAAATAGGTGCTTCTTATCTTCCTGCTCAAGAGTGCTGTTTTGTAAACTTTTAGCAAGAAATATGCAGACAAAACAATCAAAGGCAGGGAACAAGCCATAGAGCCATTCAGGGTTTACCAAGCAGAGGCAAGTGAAAGGTAAAAGGCTGGTATGAGGGTGCTCTTTACCCTTTCCTGGTTTGTGGCATTCAGGACTGAAACCTGTAAGGTCGTGTTCTTGGGATTATATTGTCTCATCCAGAGTAGGGAAGAATTTCTCCAGTCCCCTGAGTCTGCAAACTTGACCACACCTCAAATGCTTCCTTGTTCTATTATCCTAGAATTTTCTTGCAAAATGACTTGGAAGTGCCCTTTCTTATGCTCTAGTCATGGGCCTTTGAGGAAAGGGGTGTCCTTTTGTCCCTTGCTCATCAACCATCAACACCCTCTCAATCCATGGGGCCAGGTGAACTAGAAGTCTTTTTCTGTTCACTAGTGCAAAAGAGGAACCCTGGTATGGCTGAGCAGGTATTGGAACCTCACCAAAGTCGAGGTGAGGTTGAGGGACACGATAAGAAAACCACTGTGGACATTCACTGTCTTCCTGGTCATAGTACTCTGAAGCAGGGTCCCTCGGAAGGTCTACACTAGGACTTCACGTATAACTGCATGTGTTGGGGTGTGTCCTAGCAAATGCCTAAAGGACAAGGACAAGGCTAATGTTTTGTTTAACTTTTATAGTCAATTGTGCAATTTAATAAGGAGACCTGGGTTCTAGTATCCTTTTAGACTTAGTATTTGGCAAGTAACCCAATATTTCTGTAAAGGATGTTTCTGATCTGCGTGACAAGAAGTCAGGCATGCACAGAGCCCACATCTTGAAAAATGTCAGTGATTTCATGCAGATTTCTGGACCTTACCTACTAGCCTCTAAGACTTCCAGAGATGCTTGCAGACTCCTAGTTGAGCTCATAGAATGTGAAACCTGCACCCAGTAGGACCCCATTCATCACAGTTGTTAAATCAGCCTCAGTTGATGGAAATGAAACTCTTCCCTCGTTTTTCCATCGGCATCTTGCGTTCTTCTCATGATGGCCTAGAGAGCCATGGTGCTTTGGTATCGCCTGCATCTCATTCTCCCTTCTATTCCTCCACTTCCTCCCCATCAGAAATGAGGAGTCACTTTGACTTCTCTCTCCTTCACCTCCTTTAAACAGTACATGACGAGGCCCTGATACTTGGACCTGTGAAAAGTTTCTCCACAAAGTTTTCTTGAGATTCTCCCACTCTTTCTCCCAAGGCTTTAGTTCAGGCCTGTGTTATTGGGGTGGTTGTTATCAGCCTAATAAGTTATAACCAGGGTTCATGAAAGCCTACAATTCAATGGTTTTTAGTATATTTATGAAGTTGTACAGCCACCAATATCACCTAATCGTAGGATATTTTATTATCTAAAAAGAAACCATATACCCATTAGCAATCCTTCCCTTACTCTTCACCCCACCAGCCCTAGGAAACCAATAATCATCTAACTTTTGTCTCTCTAGATCTACCTATTCTGAAAAATTCATATAAATGAATCATACAATATGTGGTCTTTTGTGTCTGGCATTTTTCCTTTGGCATAATGTTTTCAACCGTCATTCATGATGTACAATGTATCAGTATTTTTCTTCCTTTTTATGGATGACTATTCCATTGTGTGGACATGCCATATTTTGTTTATTCACTCAGTTGGTAGCCTTTTGTATCACTTCTACTTCTCAGATAATGCTGTTGTGTATATTCATGCATAACTTTTGATGTAAACACATTTTTTTTCACTTAATTTGTGGTATTACCTGTAGGTTGAATTTCTGGGCATGGTAGCCCTAGGTTCAAAGTGGCAATATCAGTTTATACTCTGATAAGTGATGTTATGAGAGTTCTAATTTTTCTACACCCTCACCAACACTTGTTATTGACAGTCTTTTTATTTTAGCTAATCTAGTGGGTATGAAGTAGTATTTTATTGTAGTTTTGATTTGCATTTCTCCAATGACTAATAATGTTAGACAACTTTTCACGTATTTATTGGGCATTAGTGTATCTTCTTAGAGAAATGTGTTTCTAAACTCTGACGATTTTTATTGTTGATTTTTATGTATTCTGGAAACTAGTGCCTTATTGCAAATACTTTCTCTCATTCTGTGAGTTGTTTTTTCAGTTTCTTGGTGGTGTTTTTTGAAGCACAGCATTTTTAATTATTCTGAAGCCCTAGGTTGTCTTTCGTTGATTATGCTTTGGATGTCCTATCTAAGCAAACATCACTTGATCCAAGGTCACAAAGATTTACTCCTAAGTGTGTGTTGTATAATTATTAGCTCTTGTATTTTATATCTATGATCCATTTTGCATTCATTTTTGTGTATGGTAGGTAGGGGTCTAGCTTCATTTGTTCCTACGTGGATATCCAGCTGTCCCAGCACCATTTATTGAAAACATTTTCCCCATTGGATTGTCTTGGCATCTTTGGGGAACATCACTTGACCATTGTAATGGTTTATTTTGGATTCTGCATTTTATTCTATTCCATTGATCTATGACTGTTCTAGGCCTTTTAAAGCTATTTTGTCCACCTTCATGCCACAGCTTTCTTATTGGACTCAGTGACTGGGTAGGATTTATCTAAAATTCCCATCTGAGCCTGTTGCTTCTTTGATTAAAATAAGCATCCAAATGTGCACTGAGTAGATTTCGGCCCCAGTAGGGTAGTCTTCCTGATTTGGTCCTGTCTCCCTTTCAGTCTCTTCTCTTATCTCCCACTTCTCAGATCACACTTTAGCCAAAACTGTGCTAGCTCGAGCTCCCTAAACACCTCAGACTGTACCAGTCTTCTGTGTCTTTGCTCACACTATGTTGTCTGGATCCCCCTTCTCTCACCTCAGTCTGCTGACTTAATCAAGCCAACCCCTGCCCATTTCCTTAGGACTTTGAATAGGCAGAGTCTTCTCTGATGCCCTCTTTGACTTCCCCAGACTGGGTTGGGATCC